AGAATAATACATGGGAGTTGGTGAATCTACATCCCTCTAAGAAGCCAATTGGTTGCGAGTGGGTCTATAAGCAAGGCCAAGCATAAGGCTGATGGAACAATAGAAAGGTATAAGGCAAGACTTATGGCTAAGGGCTACAACTAGACACTTGGGGTTGATTACTTGGACACATTCAATCCAGTAGCTAAAATGACTAGCATTAGAACTCTTCTAGCAATAGAAGCAGCAAAGGACTAGCACATACATCAAATGGATGTCAACAATGCCTTTCTCCATGGGGATTTAGAAGACGAAGTATATGTGCTGCTACCTCTTGGTTTCCTAGGAGCATAGAGTGGGCGGTATGCAGGCTCACTAAGTCTTTGTATGGCTTGAAACAAGCCAGTAGGCAATGGAACACTAAGTTGAGTATTTTCCTACAAAATATGGGATTCAAACAATCCTTACCTGATAATTCTTTGTTCACAAGAGATGAAAACAACTCCTTTGTGGCATTGCTAGTATATGTTGATGATATAATTGTTACAAGTGCTGAATTAGAAACCATACAAGACGTTAAGAAGCAACATAATGAAAAATTTCATATCAAGGATCTACGGCCTATAAAGTATTTTCATGGCCTTGAAGTTGCTAAACAAAAGAAGGAAATTGCAGTCTGCCAGAGAAAGTATGCTTGGAGCTACTTGATGACACAGGTTTCACTAATTCAAAACTAGTGCACAGTCCCACAGTTCCCTCACACAAGCTAAGTAAGAATGGGGGTGATCCACTTGAAGATAATTCACAGTATAGGAGAATAGTAGGCAAGCTCCTGTATTTAACAATTATCAGACCTGATATCAGTTTTGCTACTCAGCAGCTATCCCAATTCCTTGACAAACCTACTCATTTACGTATGCAAGTTGCTCACAGGGTGTTGAGATATATAAAAGCTGCCCCTGGTCAAGGACTTTTCTTCCCAACAACATCGAATTTACAGCTCAAGGCTTTTTCTAATTCTAATTGGGGAGCTTGTGTTGATACAAGGAAGTCTGTTACTGGTTTCTATGTATTCCTAGGGAGTGCTCTAATTTCATGGAAGTCTAAGAAACAAGCAACAGTCTCTAAATCACCCTCAGAGGCAGAATATAGGGCATTAGCAGCCACAACTTGTGAAGTGCAGTGGTTAACATTCCTATTGAAAGAATTGAGAGTTCATCATGACAAGGCAGTGGCATTGTATTGTGATAGTAAGTCAGTGTAACACCCCAGATTTTCAAGATATTTAAAACTTATAAAATAAAGGTGAAATCTCATTAAATCCCAAAACATAATACAAGAGTACGGGGTGCTATGCCACACCTGAGCTAGAGAACTCAGGTGCACAGGCTAACTAACTAATTTCCTCAATAATGTAAATGCATAAACTTGGCACGCAGGCCGAAAGGGAAACTATCTACTTCTACGTTCCAAGTTCTAGCGCGCTCCAGTGACTTATTCTTCTGTGCCTGTAAGCCAAATATATCTGTTCAGCGAGAGATGCTGGTAACCCACTCCAACGCGTTGAAATACAATACATATATATATATATATATATATATATATATATATATATATATATATATATATATATATATATATATATATATATATATATATACATAGATATACGAAAAGTCATTTCGAAGCATGAAGATATATCCTAAGAGACTCTAGCTTTCAAATCAGGGAACCGACTCGACAAATAGGGGTACACACAGTCTACAGTCATAACCAAGCATATACAATTCTCACACAGGAAACAGTCATAGATAAGCACAACCAATAATCACAATTAAGCATTACTAGCAAGAGCCCTATAACAGTCACAACATCAACCCTTCTTATCTCATCATATAGCACACTTTGTTGGCACCACACGACCAATCGCATGCCCATACATGAGGGTCAGCGCATATAGCTCTGACACGGCCCCGCAGCACCCTGCCCCGTCTCACACTACGGAGGGGTCGATCGCAACCGACCGATGAGCCGCAGCTCTATATAATATTTATATACCTGACCGGTCTTTACCAGCCTGGTTAACAGTTGGGATGGTTCTCAACCCATTCAACTGCCCGTATAGTGGACCTTTGTCCTATATAATATTTATATACCTGACCGGTCTCTACCAGCCTGGTTAACAGTTGGGATGGTTCTCAACCCATTCAACTGCCCGTATAGTGGACCTTTGTCCTATATAATATTTATATACCTGACCGGTCTCTACCAGCCTGGTTAACAGTTGGGATGGTTCTCAACCCATTCAACTGCCCGTATAGTGGACCTTAGTCCTATATATTAATTATATACCTAACTGGTCTCTACCAGCCTGGTTAACAGCCGGTATGGTTCTCAGCCCATCCGACTGCCCGTATAGCCCGATTGGTCTCAACCAAATCGGGGTAACATGCACACATAACACATAGCAAGCACATGCAACCCACATTAACACATTGGGAAGGGGGGAGAAAACGTATAACAAAACCTATGCGTGATCCTTCACATACTAAGAATAGTCCTAAGGGGTTCATACTCCTTTCACCTGGGTCAACGGGATACCAATTCAACTAGCATACAATATATAAGACTCATACGACCTACGAACGGTACCCGAAAATCAAACTAGACATAGGCACGATAGACGGAGTCCGTTGGGACGCCACGGGGGTCGGGGGAACATCAAACGGGGAAGCCGGGATCCCGAAGTGGGGTACAAACCAGCGGGTAGCCGGTGGGTGGGGGTCACCCGCCGGCGTTCTACTGTTCCGGGCAGCGGGTGCCCGACGGGCAACTGCCCGCCCACCGGCTGCCCGCTGCTGGCGTTGCCCAACTTGGCCGCGGGTAGGTGGCGGGTCCCCTACCCCCCACTGACTCTTTTCACCAAAAACGCCCCGGGAACCTTTGTGGAACCCGAAACCATGCTTAGACACTTTCAAACGCAATTGATAACTCACGTAGACAATTAACGGATCAAAATCAAGAAACAAACGGCACATAACCTATCATGCTTTTCTAAACATAATCAACACCCAAATCATGCGAATTCCCACCCAATATACCTAGAATAATACCATACGAATTCCACGATATAACCTAGGGTTCTAATTATTTTTAAATTAACAAGAGCACAATTCATCTTCCAAAATCAAGATCCGGTAGGAATATCATATAACTATCAAGACTCTCATATAATCATTAAGAACATCGAGAACACCATATAATTATCAAGAACGTCATATAATCATCAAGAACACCATAATTATCAAGAACGTCATATAATCGTCAAGAACACCATAATTATCAAGAACGTCATATAATCATCAAGAACACCATAATTATCAAGAACGTCATATAATCGTCAAGAACACCATAATTATCAAGAACCTCTCCTCATCAAGATCACCCATGGAATCATCCCACCAATCATCAACAATAATATCACAAATAATCAATACACAATAATATGGGGAAATCCTAAGAGGGGAATCATAGCTATGAAAATAGGTTTTGTTGAGACATGGGTTACCTCTTAGCCTTAATTAATTCCTTGGCTATGAAGGGTCTTTCTTTAAGCTTTCTTGCTTTCTTGATTTCTTCTAAGGGGAATTCTTGGAGCTCTTTGGGTGGTGAGACGCTATTGTGGTGGGGGGGGGGGGGGGGTTATAAGTGCCTCTTAAGTCCCCTATTTATATATTTAGGAGTCCTAATTAGGAACTAATATTATAGGCTTGCTAAATCTATTCCTTTTGGGACTGAGGATTGGGTTTAGAGATAAGGGCCCGTGGACTATGGTGGGCCTTTCCTAATTAATTATTGTGATTTAATTCTTTCTTTTGGATAATTGATTAAATGATTTAATTGGTTTTAGGGATCGTAACACGGGGTGTTACAGTCAGCTATTGCAATTGCAGAAAACCCAGTATTCCATGAACGAACAAAACACATAGAGCTTGACTGTCATCTAGTCAGGGAAAAGCTGAACAAAGGCACCATCAAGCTGTTCCACATTGCATCAGCAAACCAACTACCTGATACATTTACTAAGGCTCACAGTCCTAGTTCCTTTTATGATTACATTTCCAAGCTTGGATTACTAGATATATATATATAATCCAGCTTGAGGGGGGTTTTAGGAGCATAAGATGATAACATGTGGCTTAATCCTACTCCTTCATCCCATCTAGTAGTTATTTTCTGTTATTCCCTGTTCATAGTAGTTGATGGTAGTTAGCACACCTTTGTACAAAAACACAGAAGCTAGGCAGTGAAATGTAATCTTGAATTTTTCCCATTTTCTTCACAATTCTTATGTTTTCTCTTTCCACTATGTAACAAATATGCCTACATTTAAAGAGATCATCTTAGTTGTAGTATAGGATCGGAAGAGAAATACTCAAATACCAGAACCATACTTAAATGTAGATGCATTGATAAAAATGAGTAAAGCCGCAATTGAAACCAGTTCAATTAACAGAAATTCCTAGTAACTTTTCCTCTTGGATAAATAAAGATACTAAATTTTGAACAAATTAATATGAACAAGAATTCACTGTGATGTCTAAAGGCTCATTACAGTTAACAAACTTACATATATTTTGTAGCAATAATGCTCAATGAAATTCCAGAACTTTTCCATGTAAATTTCTTTTCGGCATGTGCCTCTATGTCGGTAAAACATTTTTCAAAAAAATATTGTATAAAGTAGTTATATAGTCGGAGAAGATACTTGGTCATTCGGAGCTCTTATTATTAATACTCAAATTTTCTCCCAAAACTCAGTGGTGGTTGCTTTGTATCGGTTATCTATATCTTAGAAATTTGGGCGAAGAGAATCCCACAAGGTCATTGGCATATTATGATTTTATTTATAACAAAATAAAGTGATAAGTTAAAATTTATATAATTAATTAGTTATAAAGATTAAAAATAACTATACTAGCCAATGTGGGGTTGTTGGGTGGGGTGCCCTTAAATTGGACATGGCTAAGGCCTATGACTGCACGGAGTGGTCTTTTCTCCGTCATATGTTGCTGGCTCTGGGTTTTGATGCAAGGTGGGTGGAGCTTATTATGTTTTATGTAACTACAGTATCATATAGCTTCTTGGTGAATGGCTCTCGTATTGGCCCTGTGAAGCCATCTCGTGTCTTGCGACAGGGCAATCCGCTATCTCCCTACCTCTTCATTATTTGTGCAGATGGGCTCTCCCTATTGTTACAGAAGGCTCAATCTGGTGGCTCTATTCATGGGTGCAGAGTTGCTAGATGTGCTCCCCCTATATCTCACTTATTTTTTTTACTGATGATAGTATCTTATTCTTTAAGGCTAATGTTCAGGAGGCTGGTGAAGTAAAACGTTGTTTATTTGTGTATGAGAGTTTGTCTAGGCTGGTGGTCAACTTCCACAAGTCCAGTATATGCTTTAGTAAGAATACTCGGGAGGAAACCAGAGAAGAAGTGGCGCTGGTTCTAGGGGTTGTGCAGGCCCCTAATTTTGGCAAATATTTGGGTCTCCCCTCGTTTGTTGGAAGGAATAAGAAGGAAACATTCTCTTACATTGAGGACAAGATCAGGCAAAGGATTAGATCTTTGAGTAAGAAACTTCTATCGCAGGCAGGCAAGGAAATTATGTTGAAAAGTGTGGTTTAGTCTATGCCTACTTTTTCAATGAGTGTTTTCTTGCTTCCTTTGTCTGTTTGTACAACTATTGAGCGGACCATGAACCGTTATTGTTGGGGATCCGGGACGGAACGAGGTATTCATTGGAAGGCTTGGGATAGATTGTGCATCCCAAAGAAGTACGGGGGCCTGGGATGTTTAGGAAACAGGCATGGCACTTTCTTACTAAGCCAGATTCTTTAGTGACACGTGTCTTCAAGGCTAGGTACTTTCCTAAGGGTTCATTCTTTGAAGCATGTTTAGGAAATAATCTCAGTTTTTGTTGACGCAGTATTACGGCAGTCCAGGGGTTGATTTGTAGTGGGGTGAGACACAGAATTGGGAAAGGGGATTCCACGCTGATTTAGGAGCATCCTTGGCTCCAAAATGGACAAGACCCAATGATAAAATCTGAGATACCCCTCAGTTGGCTGGTTGCCTGGTTCTAGCGTAGTGTGTAACACCCAGAAATTTTTCAACTTTTAAGACTTATATAATAAAGGTAAATTCTCATTAAACCCCAAAACATAATATAAAGAGTATGGGGTGCTATGCCACACCTGAGCTAGAGGACTCAGGTGCACAGGCTAACTAACTAATATTCTCAATAATGCAAATGCATAAGTGTGGCACGCAGGTCGAAAGAGAAACTATCTATTTCTACGCTCCAAGACTCTAGCGCGTTCCAGTGTCTACCCCTCTGTGCCTGAAAGTCAAATATATCTGTTCAGCGAGAGATGCTGGTAACCCACTCCAACGCGTTGAAATACAATACATATAGGCATATATATAGATATAAGAAAAACCATTTCGAAGCATGAAGATATATCCTAAGAGACTATAGCTTTTAAAACAGGGAATAGACTCGACAGATAGGGATAAGCACAGTCAACAGTCATATAATTCACAAGCATAGGGAATAGACTCGACAGATAGAGATAAGCACAGCCAATAGTCATAACCAAGCATATACGGTTTACTAGCATATATCCTATGGTCACACTTTCATAACATTCGTAACATCAAACCATCCATATCTCATCACATAGCACACTTTGTTGGCGCCACAGGACCAATCGCATGCCCATACATGAGGGTCAGCGCATATAGCTCTGACACGGCCCCGCAGCACCCTGCCCCGTATCGCAACACGGAGGGGTCGATCGCAACCGACCGATGAACCGCAGCTCATCATAATGTTTGATCGCAACCAAACAGTGGACCGTAGCCCAAGAGTAGTCATCTGACCGCAGCCAGGAATATGAACCGCAGCTCATGTAAAATGTTTGATCGCAACCAAACGGTGGACCGCAGCCCGAGAGTGTAAATCTGACCGCAGCCAGCTTCTGAACCGCAGCTCAGGAATAACCAATTTGATCGCAACCAAATTGGGGTATCATGCACACATAACACATAGCAAACACATGCAACCCACATTGACACATTGGGAAGGGGGAGAAATCGTATAACGAAACCTATGCGTGATCATCCACATGCTAAGAATAATCCTAAGGGGTTCATACTTCTTACACCTAGGTCAACGGGGTACCAATTCAACTAGCATGTAATATATAAGACTCATTCATCCTACGAATGGTACCCGAACATCAAACTAGACATAGGCACGATAGACGGAGTCCGTTGGGACACCACGGGGGTCGGGGGAACAACAAACGAGGAAGCCGGGATCCCGAAGTGGGACTATTTCCAGCGGGTAGCCGGTGGGTGAAGGGTCACCCGCCGGCTGCCCGCCGGCGACAAATTTCCGGGCGGCGGGCAGCCAGCGGGCGACGTCCATTATTGCCGCGGGTAGGTGGCGGGTCCCCTACTCCCCACTGACTCTTTTTCACAAGTAACGCCCCGGGAACCTTTGTGGAAGCCGAAACCATGCTTAGACACCTTTAAACGCAATTGATGACAACACGTAGACAATTAACGGATCAAAAGCAAGAAACATACGGCACATATCTTATCATGCTTTCTAAACATAATTAACACCCAAACATGCAAATTCCCACCCAATATATCAAGAATAACACCACACGAGTTTCACGATACATCCTAGGGCTCTAATTATATTTAAATCATCAAGAACGTAATTCATCCTTTAACATCAAGAACCGATCCAATTTATCAAGAACATCGCACAATCATTAGGAATCTAGGTTTATCAAGAATATCACACAATCATCAAGAATCTTTTTCCATCATCAAGATTATAAAGATTACCCAAGAAATCATAACATCAATTATCAAGATCACACCATCAATATCATAGATGAATCATCAATACACAAGAATGTAGAGGGATGCCTAGAGGGAGATCATAGCTAAGAAAATACGTTTTGTTGAGACATGGGTTACCTATTAGCCTTAATTAATTTCCTTGGCTATGAAGGGTCTTTCTTTAAGATTCCTCCTTTCTTGATTTCTCCTAAGGGAGTTCTTGGAACTTTCTTGTGTGGTGAGGGATTATTTGTAGTGTGAGTTCTAGGTGCCTTCTATGTCCTCATATATATATATATATATATATATATATATATATATATATATATATATATATATAGGAGTCCTAATTAGGGTCTGAATGGTATGGGTTTACTAATTCTATTCCTTATAGGACTAAGGGGCTTGGTTTAGGGATAAGGGTCCATGGTCCATGGTGGACCATATTAATTAATTAAAGGGAATCCTAACCAAATTAAATCCATTTTAATTATTATTAACGGGATTAATTAAATAATTAATTCGGGATTAAAGGTCGTAACACGGGGTGTTACATAGTGGGTCTGATTGATCAGGATACCGGTTCGTGGGATCAGTCTATTCAAAATGATATTTTTCTGTCGGCGGATGTCACTTGTATATTGAAGATCCCCATCTCACCAGATTATGAGGATTCTTGGTATTGGTATGGGACCCCCAAGGGATATTATTCTGTTAAAAGTGGCTATAGAAACATTATTGGTAATTATGCTGTTAATGAGGGCACCTTTGATAAGTGGCTAACCTTATGGGGTCTCAAAATTCCCCCTAAATGGAAAAATTTTCTTTGGAGAGCCATAAGTGATATCCTTCCCACTACCAAGAACTTGCGTATTGATAAGGTTAATTTCTACGTATTATTTAGACTAATTTTAATTAGTGAGTTGCATAAATAAATTAAGTTTTAGGTTCGATTTTATAATAAATATTATATTATTTATATGTTACTAGTTTAGATTGGTTTTAATAAGTATTAGACTAATGTTACAGTTTTATTAATATAAATAGTATTTTGTTTTAACTATAATATTTTATTATTACTTGGTTTAATTAAATTCTGTTAGTAGGTTATAATAATGGTTTGGCTTTTTACTTAATATTGTTTTTGTTTTCTTTACAGGGTTGCGTAACAAGTGAAATAAAGAAAGAAAAAAGATAGAGATTAAGGTTGCTTTGGTTATATATCTGATGGGTTCGGCGGAAACAAAAAAAAAAAAAAAAAAAAAAAAAAAGGCGTTTGTTGGTCCCGAAAGGTTGGTGAGAAGTCTAGAGGGGGGGGGGGGGGGGGTGAATAGACTTCTCTAACTTTTTCAAACTACTTCTGCAAACTACACTTTGTAACTTCAACTCTAAGTAACAAGCATAAACAAGTATAACAACTTAGAGTGTGCACAGCGGAATTGTAACGGCAAAGTGTTATGCTTTAAATTGTGTCGTGCTCAAGAGAGATTCTATACATGCATCACGTTAGAAACACTTGATATAGATGTAGGATGATGTATATAAAATTTCACTTGCATGCAAACGAGGGAACTATCAAACCCAGACAGATAAAGATACGCAATAAACCGTAACGGGTTAGTTCACAAATAATATAGGCATGCACGAAATATATATGAGCAGTAAGTAAATAGAGAGAGAGATTTATAGTGGTTCAGAGGTGGTGTAATCCTCCTAGTCCACTCTTCTCCTTTCACTTCAAGGAGGAAATTCACTATTCTTCAATCACCCAGATACAATAGTGAATAAGTGCCCAACGAAACGACACTTCTCCGAGTGCTTCGCACAAAGCTACACTCCACCAAGGTTTTTCGCAAGCTCCTCTTGTTACTCCGCCTTCCCGAGTACTTCGCACCAAGCTGTACTCCTACACCACGAGTGCTACGCACAAAGCTACACTCCAACTGGGTTTTTCACTCTCCCTAGTTACTCTACCCCTTTTCTACACTCAGTAGAAGATTTACAATGAAATACAAAGATTTTTCTCTCACTCAGACTTGAATTTGATCGTGTATAGCTCAATATATCACTTGATGATTGATTGGATAATTTTCTTGTTCAAGTCGTTTCTGAATCTCTGTTAGATTCGTTGATCGCCCCTTGTCTTCAAGTCTGCTTGGGCATTTTATAGCAGATGAAAGCTATTTGCCCGTTGATCAACTTTCGATCTCGATCGTCCATTTTGAATTGTAGTTGATCAATTAATTTTGCCAACTTGGTCTGCAAAAATCATTTCGCCGTCTGTCAGAAGATTTTGAGAAATCTTGCCGTTGCTCTCCTTTAATCTGACAAAGCTTTTCTTTGGAATGGGTAGCCTCCAAATTTGAATTTTCTCTGGCATGACTTTTGTTGAATTATTGATCTGATGTGCCAAGTTGATCAAATAATTTATCTGCTGATTCTTGCTTGAGTATTAAAAAGATCTCCTTCGTATATCAGCTTCTTCTTCTCCTTCGACTTCTTCTGTAGAAACAGAGCTTCAAAATAATGTTTCTGTCTAATTCTATCATGATGTCATAGCTCCTTTTGATGAAGTCATGTCCCAATAGCATATCATGTTCCACCTTGTATCATGGAATATATATCATGTTCTATTTCATATCATGAGCTAGCTATCATGTTCCACCTTGTATCATGGACCATGTATCACGTTCCATTGTGTGTCATGAACCAATATCATGAATTCATAAAAGTGCTTTGAGTGGGAATCAAACTATGGACCATTT